CTATTATTTTAAAAGATATTTTGTATATTTTGGATACAAGCCTTTTATAAGATATGTGTTTTGCAAATATTTTCTCCTAGTCATGTGGTTTGGCTTTTCATCCTCTTAACTGTGTTTTTCACGGAGCAGAAGTTTTTAATTTTACTCAAGTCCAACTCACCAATTTTTCTTTCATGGATTGTGCTTTTGGTGTTATATCTATAAAGTCATTGCCGAACCCAAGGTCACCTTGATTTTCTTATATGTTTTCTCTTAAGAATTTTATAGTTTTGTTTTACATTTAGGTCAATAATCCATTTTGAATTAATTATGTGATAGATATAAAGTCTGTGTCTAGATTCATGTTTTTTTGTATGTGGATGTCAAGTAATTCCAGCACTGTTTATTGAAAAAACATCCTTTTGGGGCGCCTGTGTGGCTCAGTCGGTTAAGCGCCTGACTTTGGCTCAGGTCATGATCTCACAGTTCGTGGGTTCGAGCCCTGCATCGGGCTCTGTGCTGACAGCTAGCTCAGAGCCTGGAGCCTGCTTCAGATTCTGTATCTCCCTCTCGCTCTGACCCACTCCTGCTCATGCTGTCTCTCTCTCTCTCAGAAGTAATATAAAAAACAATAAAAGAAATTAAAAAAAAGAAAAAATATCCTTTCTCCATTGAATTGCCTTATGTTCCTTTTTCAACAAAAAGTTAACTATATTTGTGTGAATCTATTTCTGCACTATCTATTGTGTTCTCGGGGCGCCTGGGTGGCTTAGTCGGTTGAGTGTCCGACTTTCGCTTAGGTCATGATCTTGCGGTTCGTGGGTTCGAGCCCCGCGTTGGGCTCTGTGCTGACTGCCAGCTCTGAGCCTGGAGCCTGTTTCAGTCTGTGACTCCCTCTCTCTCTGACCCTCCCCTGTTCACGCTGTCTCTCTCTCTCTCTCCTAGAAATAAATAAAACATAAAAAAAATAATTTATTGTGTTCTATTGATTTGTCTATTCTTTTTTTAATATAATTAAAAAAAAATATTTATTTCTGAGAGAGAGAGACAGCATGAGCAGGGGAGGGTCAGAGAGAGAGGGAGACACAGAATCTGAAACAGGCTCCAGGCTCTGGGCTAGCTGTCAGCACAGAGCCCAATGCGGGGCTCGAACCCACGAACCGTGAGATCATGACCTGAGCCAAAGTCAGACGCTTAACCGACTAAGCCACCCAGGCGCCCCTGTTTCATTTATTTCTAAGAGAGAGAAAGAGAGAGACAGCATGAGCAGGGGAGGGTCAGAGAGAGAGGGAGACACAGAATCTGAAACAGGCTCCAGGCTCTGGGCTAGCTGTCAGCACAGAGCCCAATGCAGGGCTTGAGCTCACGAACTGTGAGATCATGACCTGAGCTGAAGTCAGATGCTTAATCAACTGAGTCACCCAGGCACCTCTGATTTGTCTATTCTTAACTAATACTTTGCTGTCTTGATCACCGTAGCTTTATAGTAAGTGTTGAAGCTGGGTCATGTCTGTCTTTGTTCTCTTCAGTATTTCATTGGTTATTCTGGGTCCTTTTCCTCTCCATGTAAATTTTACAATCAGTTTGTCAAAAGCCACAAAAATAACTTCTGGGGATTTGCACTGGAACTGCATTGTATAGATCAATTTGATAAGAACTAACATTTCTTGTATATTTTTAGAGGTTTGCTTTTTAATATTAAGGTTTTCAATCTTCCAGAATTAATTTTTATAGATAATGAGGAGGGATCAAAATTTTTTCCCATATGAATGGCAATTGTTCCAGTACCATTTATTGACTAGTCCATCCTTTTTTCACTAATTTTTAATGCCACCTTTGTCATATTCAAAGTTCTCATATCTGTGTAGGTCTTTTTTCTGGAATCAATACTAGGATTCTACTGGGCTAGTAGGCCATTCCTAAACTGTTATATAATAAATCCTAGTAGAAGGGATTCTCTCAACTTATTCTGCAATTCTCCCTCCCCCACCAAAAAAAAATTATAGCAACTTTTCTCGGACAAAGTTTGGCATACATTTTAATGTCATTTAAACAAGTTCTGTGGGGGGTGCCTGGGTGGCTCAGTTGGTTTAGCATCTGACTTTGGCTCAGTTCATGATCTCATGGTTTGTGGGTTCGAGCCCTGTGTTGGGTTCTGCGCTGACAGATCAGAGCCTGGAGCCTGTTTCAAATTCTGTGTCTCCCCCTCTCTCTACCCCTCTCCCACTCGTGCTCTGTCTGTCGCAAAAGTAAATAAACTAAAAAAAAAACAAAACAAAAACCAAAAAACCAAGTTCTACGAAAAACCCTGTTGAGATTTTAATTATAATTGCATTATAGTTAATGATTAGTTCAGTGAAAACAGAGATCTTTATATGTATCTTTTCTTTTTTTTATGAAAAGATTTCTCCGTTGATATAATTTCATCCATAAAGGTCTTGCACATCCTTCGTTAATTTTATTCTTAGGTACCTAATAGTTTTTTTTTTTTCTTGTTAAAGGATGCTTCTTTAAAATTATAAACTTGTGGGGTGCCTGGGTGGCTTAGTCAGTTAAGCGTTGGACTTTGGCTCAGGTCATAATCTCACCGCTTGTGGGTTTTAGCCCTGCATGGGGGTCTGTGCTGACACCTTGGAGCCTGGAGCCTGCTTCAGATTCTGTGTCTCCCTCTCTATCCCTCCTTTGCTCATGCTGTCTCTCTTTCTCTCTCAAAAATAAATAAACATTTAAAAAAATTACAAACTTGTTCAGTTCTCAGAATTTTTTTCTTAAGATTTTAATTTTTAAGTAATTTCTACACTCAATGTGGGGCTCAAACTCACAGCCCCGAGATCAAGAGTTGCATGTTTCACCAAGTTAGCCAGCCAGATGCCCCTCAAAATGATTTATAATTTGCTAGTAAATTATTTTATAATTCAAAATATAGTTTTAAACATTTTTAAATGTCATCTGTATAGTATATATGTATCATATATGCTATAATATATTGTAGTATATCTTAGTAAAGAATACATACAAATTATACAAAAATACAAGAGATACTATCTGTAATGTGAAAGTATTGTTACAGCAAATACTCAAGGAGACAAGTGACAAGCACTTGAGGAATCAGAAAAGACTGTTTATTTTGTGCCAGTGCGGGCCCAGCAGAGTCACCTCCAAAGGCTGACCATCAAGCTTGGGTTTTACTGATCTTTTATATATATGTGCTTCAGTATTAGTAGATTATTTCTCCCCCAATTGGAAGGAATCTAGAATCTGTTTATTGTAGTACATGATTAAAAAAATATCTGGAAAATGATTCAACTCCCTTGTTGAATTATAATACTGTAGTTTCTTTTTAAAATTTATTTTTATTTCATTAAAAAATTTTTTTTAAAGTTTATTTTTGAGGGAGACAGAGACATGAGTGGGGTAGGGGCAGGGAAAGAGAGAGAGAGGGAGAGAATCCCAAGCAGGTTCCACACCACCAGCGCCGAACCCAATGTAGGTAGGACTCCAACTCATGAAACCTGAGCCAAAACTAAGAGTCAGATGCCCAACCCACTGAGCAACCCAGGGGCCCCTTTTGTTTTAATTTAAATTCAAGTTAGTTAACATACAGGGTAATATTGGTTTCAGGAGCAGAACCGAGTGATTCACTTCCATATAACAGCCAGTGCTATTTGTTTCTTTTTAGTTTATAAATTTACCCTTATTGATAGTGAGCTATTTATTTTGTGATTTACAAAAGTAAGTAGGTTCATTCTGAATAATCACTGTAAGTAAGCTCATGTTAAGGTGGTAAACATTTGAATGTTAATTAAGCTGAATCCAGTTAGTGATTTAATTTACAACTAATAAACATAGTCACCATGTACTAAGTGTTTCAGGGAAGACACAGATTAATAGGTCACATTTCAGACCATTTTCATCAATCATAAAGAAAATTCAGAGGCCCCAATACATTGCGGATTATGTAGTTTCCAATATTACCTTAACAGGGGAAATAGCTGCTATAACACTTGAAGCTAAAAGTTTTAAGGTAGCTATTGTAAAGTCCATGCAGGAATATCCTGAAACAGGCATGGAGCCAATGTAAGCGCTGTCTCCAAACTATTTTTCATTCCTTCCCTTTCACCTTTATCCTAGACTAGAACCTGTTTTTCCTGGCTCTGAATAATTCTCAGCATGGCTAAACATTTGGCAGTAAAAATAAATCTTTTTTTAAATACTTATCATACTGAATTTTAATTTTTAAACAATTGTTATTGCGTAACAATTGTTGTTTTTTTTACAAAGTTTATTGTCCAGTTGGTTTCCATATAACACCCAGTGCTCATCCCCACAAGTGCCCTCCTCCATGCCCATCTCCCCCCTCCCCCCCCACACCCATCAGTCCTCAGCTTGTTCTCAGCATTCAAGAGTCTCTCATGGTTTGCCTCCCTCCCTCTCCCCCACCATTTCCCCCTTTCTTCTCCCCCATAGTCCTCCATTAAGTTCCCCTAATCCTCCTATACGTGCAAACATGTATTTGTCCTTCTCTGCATAAAAATAAATCTTTAAGTGTTGTCTTTACACAAATATAAGTTTGTACCAAACACCATGATCTCAGTACACTGTTGATAGGAATTGAGTGGTCCAGTCAACTGTGTGGTCGTCAGGACAGAGCGGCTTGGAGATCAAGGCGAACCATTTAATCCCCCCACGCCCATACTCTGGCCAAATTCAAAGGCTGATCTGGGGGTTATTTCAGGGCACGTCCCTCGCTTCCCAGAAAAACTCAGTCATAAATCAAACCCAGACCCCCCCAACGCTCCCGATCATCTGAAGTAAAGCATCACAGCCTTTCGAGTTTTCGCAGTGCTCAGGCTCATTCCGGAAGAGGAGCCTGCGTTTTCAGATGAGCAGCAAGCCGGCCGAGTTTTTGACCACCGAGGGTTAGAGCTACGGGCCGCCCGCCCATTGTGCTTGGGGCTAGAAAGTCGTCTTCAGCCCCTGACGCAGGCGGAGGCCCCGCCCTGCGCGTGACGCCAGCGTCAGGCCAGTCCCGGCATGCTCCGCGGCCGCCGGCGGTGGAGTGCAGACGAGCGGAATTTTTCCCGTGGACATCTCCGGCTCAGTTCAGCTGCTGTTCAGACCCGGGTCGGTGAGAGTGCCGTGTCCAGCCCTTTTCCTATCGCTCGCCCGTCAGTCTGAGCGCCCCTAGCCCTCCCGCGAGGGCGCCCCGGGACGGAAGGATCCACCAGCCTGTCGGCGCCCGCCGTGCTCGTGGTCGCCGTCGCCGTCGTCGTGGTGGTAGTCTCTGCCGTCGCCTGGGCCATGGCCAATTACATCCACGTTCCGCCCGGCTCCCCGGAGGTGCCCAAGTTGGACGTCACGGTTCAGGATCAGGAGGAGCAGCGCTGCCGGGAGGGGGCCCTCAGCCTCCTGCAACACCTGCGGCCGCATTGGGACCCTCAGGAGGTGACCCTGCAGGTAACGCCCACATTTCTGCACGGGGTCTCTCACTACCCAGACGCGGCCCTGAAGGATTCTCACAATCCCTTCAGTTTCCCGTCGACCGGGAGAGCCCACGGGAGCGTCTTCTTCCTCAGTCCTCTGGGAAGTGAGCCTGTGTTTCCTCGATCAAACCTAGGAAGGTCACTCCCCCTTCCTTCACAATTGCTTAGCGAGGTTGTCCTTGGGGCAAATTTTCTTTCTGGAAGCAGCTACGTAAGTGACGCACCCATTCACACCGGGAAAATCCGTTGATAGTTGCCCCTCCTCCCACTCCCCGTCCCTTCTAACTGCAAAAGGAACCTTTTCCATTCCCCTTGCTAGGGGGTCCTCTTCAGTCGTCCCTAGTTACCTTCTCTTCCACGGATAATGCAGTAGTTAATCCGTCTGATCTTTTCCTTTCCCTTCCCGCCCCTCCCCCCTCCCCCCGGCGGTTTACTCCCATGGAGGTCTCACCCTGCATTTTACCGTCTCAGACCTTAGGATTGGCGAGAGTATTCGATTTCAAAGTAATAACCATGGTCGAGTATTACTCAGTTGTGTTCTTAGGTAGCACTATACATATTTTATTTGAATCGGTATTTCTGAATTTTTGTATTCGTCTCAGTAAAACTGACAGTATCTGATGTTAGATCGATCAGTGTTATCATATTGATAGACAAAAATTGGGACAATTGATAGACAAAAAATCTTTATAGGTATAGGCGTTTTCGAATAATTTGTTTCTAATAAGATAGGATTTAGTATACATGACGTTTACTTTGAATATTAATTTAACTTTTAGAGTTTCATGATCTGCGACAGTGAACCTCCATTTTCCTTGCATACACAGATCAAAGTCAGTAATTTTGAAGGCGGAGATATTTGGGGTTTGTTTCAAATCTGAACAATAACGTAAGAAGTAACCACAACATCTGGTTTGTTTTGTTGACTAATTTATTCATCAGTGTTATTGACTTTTAACAGTATCTCAGGTTCTTTGCTAAAGTAGTCACCTATACAAAGATGAATAAAACATGAACAGTGCTCTAGGGCCCGGAACAGTTCCTGACACTTAGGCTCTCAGGGGTGTTAGTTTCAGTTCTTGTTGACTAAATGAGTTTTGAGCAGATTAAAAGGACTCCTATGTTTTGGGGGAAAAAACTTAGAAATTCTGAAATTTTAAAGGAGTGTTAGCCAATTAAACAGGACATAGTGAATCCAAAATGATTTTCATGTGTAATTAAAAAAATTAGTCTTGCTATATTTTCTTTAACAAGAAAGTTAAATTAGTTGAAACTTCCAAAAATGAAACTTCGAGTTGAAAATAAGAACTACTTTAGTTTATTATTAACTTATTTGTAGTTTACTACAGAAAATTTTTATATCAAAATGGTTTATACTCTGAAAGTCAATTATAAACTAAACATACTAATTAAAGACGATGCTGCTTCCTGGAAAACTTTGGTGCTGGCAAACTATGCTGCTTTTTAAGTAGAGACTTTAAAGTTTTAAGCTTTGAGACTGGTGTTTTCTATTAATGTATTTGTCTGTAGAACAGTAATAATAACTACCCTGTGGTACCAGTGTGCCATATTGTTAGCTAGGTGATCTATATATTTTATCCCTTAATCCTACAGACAATTGTATTAGGTAGATACTTTTTTTTCTTTTTCTTTTTCTAAGTGAAATTCAGTGAAATAAAGCCAGGGTATAGGTAAAAAAGGGACAAAATGGGAGCTTTTTTGTTATTGGAAATTACTTGGGATTGAATTTCGTCTTTTATTAATGTAGCAACTTTTTACTTTAAGGTCTTTGCACTCATAATCCAAATTTCTAATATACTTACTTGTCAGTGAAGATAAATATTACCACTTATTTTGCTGTAAGGATGATTATTAGAAATACAATCATTCTGTGAGCAAACAACTCCTTTGATCAGAAACTCTGACTTGGTGTTTATTCATTGGTGGTTTCTGAACCTGGGAAAATCTGACTCCCAAATTCTGTCATTCTAAACTCTTCCTTACTTTTTTTTTAAGATTTTATTTATTTATTTATTTATTTTTAAAATATTTTTATTTATTTCTAGGAGAGAGAGAGAGAGAGAGAGAGCGTGAGCAGGGGAGGGTCAGAGAGAGAGGGAGACACTGACTCTGAAATAGGCCCCAGGCTCTGAGCTGGCAGTCAGCACAGAGCCCGACGCGGGGCTCGAACCCACGAACCGCGAGATCATGACCTAAGCGAAAGTCGGACACTTAACCGACTAAGCCACCCAGGCGCCCCTTTTAAGATTTTAATTTTAAGTGATCTCTACACCCAATGTGGGGCTCAAACTCAGAATCCTACGAGTCTCATGCTCTACTAACTGAGCTAGCTGGATGCCCCTCCAAACTCTTCCTTACGATGCTTCAGGATTTCTTTAGTAAATCTCAATGGGAATATTTCTTTTTAGATTTGCTTTTATTTCTTTTGAAGTATAAAGATAATCTACATTTCAGAAGGGAAGTATGTATCATATGGTCAACAGATTAATACAGATGGTATGTAGCCCATTTTTTTTAAGACTTTTATGTAATGAAATATGCTTTAAACATACCTTACAGGCTTAGTCTAGTAATACTTAATTTTACTTGACGATTACTCCTGTCATCTGAACTATTCAGAATGTATTGGAAAATCCAGAAGCAAGCAAAAAAGACTTTGATGCAGTCAAAATGCTATAAGGCCCAGTCTTTGCTCAAAACTTATAGACACATGGAATGATGTATCTCATCTTAGATGGGATTTTAACAACTTAGGGTTTTCCTATTCATACAAGATTGAAAGAACAAAGTATAAAAGGGGTGGTGAGCTTTTTGGAGTGTATTGTACTGTCTTAGAATAGACAGAGTACATCTGAAACAACAATACTAGTCACAGTACTTTTTATTTCATAATATTTTACTGAAATTGATAGTCTAATGGGGAAGATAAATAAAAGTCATAATATAGTGTTTTTGGAATGTACATTCATGTTACATTCATATGAAAAGATTATGGAAGAACATTAAAAAATTATACGGTTTTGTTCCTTCTGTATTACAAGTTTTCATGTTTTTGGATGCATGGTTTTGAAATCCCGTTTTTTCTAAGCATACATAGACTGTCTTAGAAACCAGTGCTTATGTTTGGTTGTGTTGCTACTTAGCACTTTCCATATCCCCTTCCCTTAGCCATGTTGGAGATAGTTACTAAAATAGTCTATGAAAAATCTATAATCCTTTTTATTTTAATATTGATATTTGATATTTAATATTCTTTTAAATTAATAGTCAAAGCTGCTAATATATATGTATATATATACATAGTTTATTAAGCTGTGTGTCCTTTACTTTCTAATTTAATAATTCACCCCCCCACCCTTTTTTTAAAGTATACTTGACGCACAATGTTACATTAGTTTCAAGTGGCTTTTTTTTAAAGTTTATTTTGAGAGAGCCTCTGGGAGAGGGTGGGTACATGTGCAAGTTGGGGAGGGGCAGAGAGGGAATCAAGCAGACTCTTCTGTCAGCACAGAGCCCCATGGAGGGCTGGAACTCACAAACTGAACTGTGAGGACATGACCCTAGCTGAAATTAAGAGTTCACCACTCAACCAATTGAGCCACCCAGTTGCCCCTCCTTTTTTTTAACTTAAAAAAAATTTTTTTTTTTTTACTTATTTATTTTGAGAGAAGGAGAGGTAGTGTGCATGAGAACAAGCGTGAGCCAGGGTTGGGGTAGAGAAAGAATCCTAAGCAGGCTCTGGACTGCCAGGCTCAAACCCATGAATCCTGAGATCATGACCTGAGCCGAAATCAAGAGTCAGATGTTTAAGAGCCACTCAGGTGCCCTCTCTTCTGTTTTTAGAAAGATGAGTTTTTTTCTGAAAAGTCTTAGGTAAATTGAAGTAATGTATTAAGTGTGCCAGGAGGATATGATATTTATAGGATCCTTGAGTCCTGTAGATAAATATAAGGATTCATAGTTTTTTCCAACATAATTTTTCAACAAATTTTTAAAAACTTGAAAAAAAAATTTTTAATGTTTTATTTATTTCTGAGAGAGAGAGAAAGAGAGCGTGAGCAAGGGAGGGACAGAGAGAGAGGGAGACACAGAATCCAAAACAGACTCCAGGCTCTGAGCTGGCTGTCAGCACAGAGCCCGACGCGGGGCTCAAACCCACAAACTGTGAGATTATGACCTGAGCCAAAGTCGGATGCCCAACCAACTGGAGCGCCTTAAAAAACATTTTTGAGAGAAAGAGCACATGTGCTTGTAGGTTGGGGGAGAGGGACAGAGAAAGGAGGGAGAGAATTCAAAGCAGGCTTACCACTGTCATCAGAGAGTCCAATGCCCTGATTTCACAAAGGATGAGATCATGACTTCAGCCGAAGTCAGTAGTCCAAGCTTAACCAACTGGGCCACCTGGGTGCCCCTCAACATAGCGTAATAGCAATGGTTGGGTCCACTTTTCCATTTCCTGTTCCTCCTCTTTTTGTTTACAGCGTTTTATAATAAAGTATTTGATGGGTGATAGTTCTTAAGACTCTGTTGACTATGGCTAAGAGAGATGTATGATGTTTGATAGGCTCCTATCAAAGATGTGTAATTAAAATTTTCTTTAATGTGTATTTTTGTGAGAGAGAGAGCGCGCGTGTGCAAGTAGGGAGGGGCAGAGAGAGAGGGAGACACAGAATGTGAAGCAGGCTCCAGGCTCTGAGGTTTTAGCACAGAGTCCAACACGGGGCTCGAACCCACAAATTGTGAGATCACAACCTGAGCCAAAGTTGGACGCTTAACTGACCAAGCCACTCAGGTGCCCCTAAATTTTTTTTTTTTTTTTTAAGTAATCTGCACCCAGCATGGGGCTTGAATTCCTGACCCCGAGAGCAAGAGTTGGATACTCTACCAACTGAGCCAGCTAGGCTTCCCAAAGCTGAATGTTTGATAGGCCTCTCATGTCTTTTATTATGATGG